GGAATTTAATCCCCTCTATTGGACATCATACCTCAAGTGCTCTGTGCTGTGTAGAACACAAGTTTTGTCCAAATATATATATATATTTATATATATATATATATATATACACACAGATCCTGTATGCTGTAAGAAGAATGAAAATAAGACATTGAGTCTTGTCTTTCTGTTTTTGTTTTTGAGGTAAGAGGTCAGTATTTATTTTGTGTCTTGTGACCACTATATGAGAATGTTTTGATACTTCAAGTTTCCCGGCAAATCAATGAGTGCGATTAACCTGCAAGGATGGCTGAAATTATGTTAAGTCTTAACATCCCAGTTTTGATGTCACAGAATCCTGGTATTTCTTGTAATTGCTTCAAGTGTTTTGGTTGAACCTATTCTAAAAACAAAGTTAAACTTGTTAGTAAACTGCCAATTTCACTCTTCAGATATTTTTTTTATCTCTCAAATGTCAGATTAAGGCAGCAGATTGGAACAGGCTGATAATTGGATAAAAAGCTGAGAACATTCACTAGCAGTTTACACTGCAAAAAAAAACCTTTCTGTGATACCTTTGTTTATGAAGTCTTGTTTATTTTTTTATTTTTAACCTTTTGTCTGCTTTTTTTTAAAAAAAAATGCATTTCATTATCTTGAGGGACTCAACTATTGTGTATAAGAACCTCTAAGGCTCTCAAGTTGGAATTCAATCCATTTGGGTTTGAAAACTTCATAGAAGAATGCAGTTTAGTAGGAAAGTTGTGTATAAAAATAAATCTGTTAATTGCTCTTATGCCATTGACCAATTTTTTTTTATTTTGTAATGTAACTTTCAAAATTAAAGGCGCCACTTGTACTGAAATAGATTTTTTAGCAGGCTGTGCAGTTTTTCAAAAGAACGGATTGTGTTGTGTTCTTTAAACGTGTACAGATTTTACATTTCGTTTGCAGGATCTCAGATTTTGGTTTTGATTTCTCAGACATCTATACTTTTGTTCTTTGACTCACTTAAAAAACCAGTGGGAGTTCCCCATTTCCAGGCCATTTATTTAAAAGGACTAATTGGTAGAACATTCTTTCTCTTCTGGATATGAAGACCATGAGCGTTCGCTGTAACTTCCTGTTTAATTCTGATATGCACGAAAAAAGCTGACAGCAATGGAAACTGTGCCTTGTGGACTTGGTTAAAAATAGGATGATGTTATACATGCCATTTCAATGGGAAATTCTGTTTCTAGTCTTATTCCAATCTGCAGTAGCTTTCCACATAGCAAAGTTCATAAAAGGGCAGAGTGTTGAAATGATCAGATTCCATTATTTGCCTGAAATAATATTAGAATTTAATCAGTGATGTTTTGCTTTTAAAACAAAAACAGCCTTTCACAATAAAAGGTGTAACTATTTTCTGTGTCCTTCTGGGTAGACCAAAGTTGCCAGACTGAAAGGCACAACCTCTCCTAACAGTTGTAAGGGTCCTCCGATAAGTCTGATCAATAGCCGTTTGGTGTCTGGGACTGACCAAATGGGTTACATGCAGATTCAGTAGATTCTGCCATAGAAAACAGTTTCCCTCCCAACTCACTGGTAGCAAATTGTTGCTGAGGGTGCAGTGAGGGAACACTCCTACATACATAAAGAGGAAAAGATGCAATTAAAATGTAAATATTAATCATTTGCAGCCATATATAAAACTTTGTAAGTATATTCTGTTGGATTCAGAAGAGAGATCCTGTTTCAATCCATTGCCTTTTGGGGTGGGCGGGGTGGGGGGCTTGCTGGGAATTTTCTACAGGCATCTTTTGAAAGCATGTGTACATTCAGCCATGTTGTACTCCTCAAATCCTGCTGCAGTTGTAAATCTGCTTTTATACTTTCCTGCACTGGGGTCACAGCAACTGTTTTGGAACACAGCTTCTCCCAAGCAGCATTTTTGCTTCTAGGACAAATGAGCCCTACAGAAGAATGGAATTTAGTCAACTGTATACACTCCATAGACTTTGTTCTTATTTCCCACCAAGTCTTCAATACTATTGTAAATATTCATTCGTATAGTGCTATCAGTGTGTGTGTGTGGGGGGGGAGATGTTCCTTAGAAGCATTAAAAAAAGTCACCCCTGCTTCTAAAAAGTTTACTGTCTAAAATTTATTGGGGTGGGGGGGGCAAGAGATGGAGAGGAAGTATGTGAGGTGGAAGACCCTGTTCGTAAGGCATGTATTGTAATCTTGTGCTCACTTGAAACACGCCATCCTAAACATGGCGAGATTTATTTCTGACCAAATGATAGTGTTGCACTTGTTTCAGAAATACCTATAATTCTTGGCTATGCCTGAAAAAGCTCTTTAGTTTTGCTTTTGTTGCATTTTTTAAAATGGGATTAGAACTAATCCAGGATTTATTTTAAATGCAGTCATAAGCATACAAGGAAAAGTGGCTTTTCTGGGTTTCAGACCAACTCTGACTTTTGCCTTTATTCTGCTGGAAAAAGTGTTATCTTTTGAAATATATATGTGTCATCATTCTCCAACCAATTCCTTATTTCTTTGAATTATCAGCCACATTAGCATAGGGCTTCGCTCTTGAAATGTAAGAGATGTGTTCTATTCCATACTGCATAGGGGCTGTCATTTTTATTCTTTAGAATGCACAGAAGCAGTAATGATAACTACAAGTTTATTGTTTCAGATCTCCCCAAAAGCATAATTCTCTGGGCAGAGAACAAAGATACAGCAGATTACAATGGAGATAAGCCCTAGAACACAGATACAGCAACTTGAAAGTTGTAAAATATTATGGTAGTTGCCAAAATACAGTATATTAGGAAATAAAAGAGTAATGATCCAGCACATCTGGTAAAAATGATGTAAGTATCAATGAGTAATTTGAAGGATATCACCATTATTTAATGGAGGCATCTGGAAGAGAACTTTGGATAAATATAACACATGTTCATCCATGTATGGCTGCAAAGAGATAAGTAGAAGTTTGCCTCTTTAGATCCCGCATTTATTTGTTTAGCAATCTCAAGGCAAGCAAACTCTGCAAATTTAAATTTAGAAGGATGGCAGGATTCATCCTGCTGTTTACTAACAGCCTTGAATTGGAACCAGAAACAGAGATAATATTTAACAAGCCCTTCTTGTCTTACCTGCTGAACAAAGGACAGAGTCCCCGATCAATGGGTTTTGCAGCCCACAGGTGTTCTCCCCAGTGGGTGCAGATTAGCACACGCCAAGAGAACCATAGCAACACACACGCAACCCATACCAACGATTTCTGCAAGCAGAAAGCAAAAGGAAGTACAAGCAAGAGGTCAAGTGTCTTTCATAAGGAAGGGCAATTTAACACTTTTATTAATTAAAAAAATGGCCTTTTGTATTTTCAGGCATCTGCCATTGAGAAGAGCAGCACAAAGATTTTTTAAAAAAGTCCTCTTTGGAAGGATTTCTTGTGCTTGCACCCTTCTGCCTACCAATTTCATAGCCCTCTATTCACACTAGTTTACTTCATTGGAGCAAACTAATATCCTGATGAAACAGATTTTTAATTCTTAACAGGGTTTCCTAGTTGGGACCCTGAGACTGGCAAAGGGGAAGCAATAGCAAACCTAAGCAGGTTGGCCTGGTGGCTAAGGCACCAGACTAGAAAGGAGGAGGCTGTGAGTTCAAGTCCTGCCTTACCGATGGAAGCTAGACGGGTGCCTCCTCAGCCCACCTCAGGGTTGTTGTGGGGAAAATAGGAAGAGGAAAGTGTGTTTAGATATGTTCGCTGCCTTGAGTTATTTGTAAGTGATACTAATAAAAATAAATCCCCATCCTTAAGGCACAGTTCCCCAATCTAGGTGCCCTCCTGGTGCATGTTATTAAAAAAAGATCTCCAAATTTCCAGCCCAGATTTTTGACTTTGAGGATCAGAACATTCAGAGAAGGGGGGATGTAAGAAAAACTAAATTTCTGGGTTTGGATGCCGGAAAGAACTGGCTTCTTGAACATAGGAGTGGGCCAGATTAAAGCTGATTTATTTAAATACTAAAACACGATCGACCCTCCCTTGAAGCACCACAGTAAAATTAAACTTTTTTAAAAATTAAAACCTTAAAGCATGTCAAAACCTTCAAAACCATGGGGCAAAATTAAACATACTGACCTACATAGAAAGGGACCAGGGGGCTGCCTCTATTTCATTATTGTTATTATTATTGTTAAGCCACATTTGGGGGGGACCTTCCCCAAACCCGAATTTAGCTGAGAAAGGTTTGGCCAGAGACATCTAGGTGCCTATATTACATTTCTTATTTTATTTATAATCTGATTTATTTTTTATTTTATCCATCTATTTATCCCTCCCTCTCTATCCATCCGTCTCTATCATTCATCTCTGTCTGTCTGTCTGTCATCTCTAGACAGCCAGTGTCTCCATTTTCATTTCATTTCTCTATAATTATTTTTTTATCTATCTATCTATCTATCTATCTATCTATCTATCTATCTATCATCTATCTATCTATCTATCTAGGCAGCCAGTGTCTACATTTCATTTCATTTCTTATTTTTATAATTTATAATCTATTACCTATATCTCTAGGCAGCCAGTGTCTACGTTTCATTTCTCATTTTATTTGTAATTTGTAATGTGATATTTTTTATTGTATCTATGTATCTACCTACCTACCTACCTACCTACCTACCTACCTACCTATCCAGGCATCCAGCGTCTCCCTTTTCATTTCTTTACAATTTACACTATTTATTTATATTTCTATGCCGCCCACCTTCCCCAACCAAGGTGACTCGGAGCGGCTTCCAACCAGGTGATTCACAGGATTTATTGTTTTTTTGGGGGGGGGGGGGGGGGGGGGGGCCCGCCCAAGGGGATACCCCCCGGGGGGCGCCCCCGCCCCCCCCCCCCCCCCCCCCCTCAGCCCCTCCCGGCCGGCCGGCCGCTCTCGCACGTTCGGCGGGGCGGGGCGGGGCGCGGCGCGCGCCTCCTCCCCCCCCCGCTTCCCTCCCTCCCTCCTCCCTCCCGCGAGGAGCAGCAGCAACAGCAGCAGCAGCCGCGGCGGGAGAAGCGGCCCCGGCACCCTCGGCGGCTGGCGGGGCGGCAGGAGCAGCGCGGCGGCCGCTTTCCCGCCGCCATGGCCGGAAACAGCGGGGGCGGCGGCGCCGAAGGCCGTTGCATCGTGGTGAGGCGGACGGGACGGGGGGGGGGTGTGGGAGGGGGGGGGCTCCCTGGCTGCGTTGCCTGGCAACGGGGCGCGTGGAAGTGATGGGGGGGCTTTCGGTCGTGTGGGGGGGAGGAGAGGAGAAAGGTAACCCATCCTCCACGGCCGAAGAGGCCTTTTTTTTTTTTTTTGCCGGGAGGGAGGGAGGCCAAAGCTCGCGGCGAAGGGTCTCTGAGCATGTGCAGAGGGCCTCCATACCCATTCATTGCTCCTTTTGCCCCCCCCTTGCCCCCAAAGAGTGGACCCTTCCCTCCTGGCCTGGGGGGGGCGGGGGAGGAAGGGATGGTCAGCAGAAAGCAGGAGGAGAAGGCCATTTTGGGGCGGGGGGGGGCGTGCCAAGGCCTGCAAGGTGCCCTCTGTGCCCTGGCAGACCCTTTCAGTGGGTGGGGTTGTCCCTTGTGTGTGGGGGGGCAGAAAACCCCCCCGGGGGGGGGGGGGGGGGGGGGGGGACCCCACCAAGGGGGGGGGGGGGGGGTCTTCAGGGCTGGCCAGGCACAGAAAGGGCCTTATCAGATCCTCGTCCCCCTCCCCCCAAAAAAGACACAACCAGGAGGGGGTCTGGTCCCCCGCCCCATTTACCAGCTGCAGGAAGAAACAGCAGCTGGAAGGAGGGCGAGGTGGGCTCTGCCCCACCCTGGAGGGAGCAATTTTAGGAGGGTGGGGGAAAGCCTGGAGCCAGAAGTGTTTATAATCACACACACGCACGCACGCACCTCTGTCGGTGTTGTTGGGGGGGTCCTTTTAAAGGCCTCAGTTGGAGGGTTGTGGGTGGATGTAGGTGTGAGTAGGTGGGCGCCACCCAGGTGCCAAACAGGATGTTCCCCCCACCCCCCACCCCGCCTGTCCCAGAGCAACAAGTTTTGCCTGCCCGGCAGCCTGAACAGGGACGATGCTTTTAGAAAAGAGAGAGAGAGGGAGAGGGATCCCTGCAGAAAAGACCCCAAGATCCCCTTCCCCAGAATCCTGGAAAGCCGCTGTGCCTGGTGGGTCGGATCCTGCCTGGCAAACAGGCACACGCCGCCCTTCGTCAGGCACGTGCTGAGAGGAGCCACTTCCTGCTCCAGGCTTGGAGAAAGAGAGACCGGGGTCTGCTGGGCGAAACCCCTTCCGCCCTTTGCCTGGGGGCTGGTGGGAGGAAGATGAAGGTCCCAAATCTCCAGGCGTTAGGAAAGGCAGAACTTGGTCATTGCAAACCCCAGTAATGCATCACTATTATCATTATTATTATTATTATTAAAATGCAGGAGATCATATTAGATCTCGGACGTGGGTGCTTCCTCACCTGGGCGGGGGGCTCTTTTCCTGTCTGAGATTCTGTTTTGATTTTATTTTTTAACTGGGGAGGTGGGGGGCGGGGATAATCTTTCAGGAAGCATCGAGGCTGTTCCAACAGATTTGATAAGGAGAGAAAAATATCAGCTATAAAGTGGAGGGATTTTTTTGAAGCCATCCCAAGTCGTGTGCACCCAAGAGGCTAATGGTTAGGAGACATTTATCGTAACCAGACGCTCTTCTTTTAAGGTGAAGATTGCTGTCCCTGTGTGGTATATCTCATTTTCCCCTCCATTCTGTTAAATCTGTAGAAGTAACCTAGCGCTTCGAACCTGAGGTGGAAAGGTCTGTCCTATCAAAGTCCCCCAAGTAGAACTCTGTAAACTTCCAAGCTGCTTTTTATTAGTTTATTAGTGTATTGTTTTCATGGTCCCTTTTTTTAAACAAAGATAAGAGCCCATGGCTGGGGAAGAGACAGTAAACTGATCTGGAAAGATACTAATAATGAAAGAAGTGATGTAAGAGTTTATAAAACCCCAGAGTAATCGGAATTTTACTGCTTATTAATCATGGCAGTTTCTATATTGCTTTTCAAATTGACCTCGAAAGTTCTGCAGAACCTTTCTCAAAGAGATGTTGACTGCAAGGAATTCCTTCTCTAGTTATATATTGCTGCTCAGGTGACATATCAGCACGCAGGATATTGGATAAAAAAGCCAGGTGTGTGTGTGTGTGTGTGTGTGTGTGAGCCTCGCCATTGATACGGTATCCCTTCCAGCACATGTTTTGCATAAGCTGAAATATATAGCTCTGAGGATAGCGGAACGCTGCTGCTTGCTTCTGTTTAAAAGTGAAAGCTTTTTTCTTTCTTTTTTTTTTATGGCATCTGAACTTGTCCGGTACCGTTTGATGTACTGAATCATGGCTTGGATATATGTTACAAATTATTTAACATTTGCTAAAGGGCTCTCTTTGCATTGGGGTCCCATTGGGGTCCCAAAGGGTGGAATCTTTGCAAACTCGCTTGCCTCTTTCAGTAAAACGTGGGTCACAGACCACGATGCTCTCTCTGTGTGGGATGCAGCTTTTCTCGTTGACCAGATGTTATCCGCACTCTGAAATGCGCTTTTAATGGAAACGCAGCCTGTAATGATGATCAGGGTCCAGCCGGTGCGTTTTTTTCTGTGGCACGCTGAGTTCCCGGTTAAGTAAGACGGGCTTGGCAGCGCCGCAAGTAGAAATGGCTTCTTTGGGTGGCCGGACCAGAAAGTGCCTGGATAGAGGAAAGGTGTGGCAGCGAGGAGGCTGTCAAAAACAGTCTGGTGATTAAACTTTAGCCCAGGGAGCCTTGCCAGCCTGCATTTTAATGCTATTTGCACCGAGCTGCTTTTGCATAAACGTTTCTTTTTCACGGAGCCAGAAATTACGGCTTGCCCAACTCCCAACTTGCTCAGCTAACCGTCCCCTGCATTGTTTCCCAGCAGGAAATATCGTGTTTTCCCCCCCCCCCTTAAGTGACATACGCCCTTCTTCACGCGAATGAAGGAACCCTGAATCGTCCAGGTTGCCTGCAGCAGCGAATCCGCTGCCCCTTTGTCTCAAAGAATCAAATCATTCCGAAAAGGGGCAAAAAATGCCACATATCCCCCCGAGACTTTCGGGCCCCACCCCAGAATGCCAAGCGTGCAAACCCTTCCCCCCCCCCCAGGCCACCGGTTCACGGCTTCAGGTGGGGAGAAAACCCAGAGTCCTGGTTTCTAATGTCATCGTGTGCTACCTCCCCGCCACCTTTTTTTGTTTTTAGATTGGAGATGATGAACAAGGGTACGACCTGGATTTGTTCTGCATCCCCAAACATTACGCAGAAGATTTGGAAAAAGTCTACATTCCTCACGGACTAATCTTGGACAGGTTGGTCTGACCGGCAGGGTCTGTCCCGAAATGCAGGTTTCCCTGCATGCTACGGCAGGGGCTCCTTGGCTTACAACCACAGCGGAGGGCCGGCATTTACGTTGATCAGCAGAGACGGTTGTTAAAGCGAGTTTTGCCCCAACTCGGGGCCTTTCTTACCAAGGGAATCCCTGCAGTCATTAAGTGAGGGACATGGTTGTTGAGTGAATCTGGCTTTGCTTGTCAGGAGATCGCAAAAGAGGATTGCCACACACACACACACACACACACACACACACACACCCCACCCCATGGGATACTGCGACAATCATAAATAGGAGCCAAGTGTCCAAAATTTTGATCACCTGACCATGGGATTTGTTGTAACTGTGAAAAACGGTCATAAGTCTCCTTTTCAGCAGCGCCGTTCTAACTTTGACTGGCCACTAAACGAACGGTTGTAAGTCGAGGGCCAACGGTACAAGCTTGCTTTAAGGAAGCTTCCCTGATGAAGAGTTACGAAGTTTGCTCCTCTGCACCTGAAGGTGTGTATAAATTTGGCAAGGAGCATAAGCGGGAGGCCCCACCCGCGCAGGACTCTGTCCCCTGAAACGGAGACAGTGCTGGCTAAGGTGCAGCATGTGGCACTTCTGCTAGATTGGTGACGATAAAACGAGGCCAGCCGTTCGCCAGCCTCCCCGCCACAAATGGCAAGGCAAACATTGTACAGCTAAAAATCTCCCCAGGATTAATCTTTCGTTTTATCCCTACTAAGCAGATGCCTAGCAATCTGGGCAAATGTAATACAGCTTCTGCAACTGCCCAATCAATTTTTCTTCTCATAAGTAAGGTCCTCTTTACTAACCATATATGTGTGGCGGTTCGGCGGTTCGAATCCCTAGCGCCACGTCACGGAGTGAGCTCCCCTTAACTTGTCCCAGCTTCTGCCAACCTAGCAGTTTGAAAGCACGTAAAAAATGCAAGTAGAAAAATAGGGTCCCCTTTGGTGGGAAGGGAACAGCGTTCTGTGCACCTTTGAAGGCGTTTAGTCTGCCAGCCACATGACCAGGGAGACGTCTTCGGACAGCACTGGCTCTTCTTTGGGTTTGTAACGGAGATGAGCAGCGCTCCCTACAGCCGGGAACGAGTAGCACAAATGTGCAAGGGGAACCTTTACATACATACATATATACATAGTGTTTGTGTGTGTACAGGGGGGAGGGGTAGATGGATATAGACATATAGATATAAAAATATATAAAAATGTAAAACAAAGGGTTTTAATCTTGGACCACTTTATTAAGATTTGTAGACTTCAACTCCCAGAATTCTCCAGCCACCCACATCTGGTTGGATGGGGAATTCTGGGAGTTGAAGTCCATAAGTGGTCAAGGTTGGACGGACACACACACACCCAATGTAGGATGTAAAGGAAGCAGGTGTATAAACATGCGTGGCAAGCTTTGCTATAGTGGCCTGCCGTTGTGCCACACCTCGAAAACATGGCTCTCCAATCCGAAGGCATTTCTCCACTTTGCTCTTGAATTCCTGGACAGCCCCGGCAATCCGGCCGTTGCAAAGCCTGACTCCCTTTCCTTTCCAACAACCTCGCTGCCCGATACCTTCCGTAGGTTGTCTGGTCAACTATCTGGAGGCTGAGATTTGCTTTGGCACAAGCTCCCTGGAAGATCTAAGGCTGTTTGGCAGCACCACGATTAGATTAACCTTGGCAAGTGAGAAAAAAGCCGGCATGTCATTGACCAGCCGGTCAACAGTCAGGTTCACTGTCAGATGGGAGGTTCCAAAAAAACAAAAAACAAAGAAGAAGGCCGTGTTTGTTTATTCTTGCCACCTTTGTTTCCTCAAACTGGGTTGAAGCCCCTGGCTTACCTGGGGTGCAAACCCCGAGGGTCTCTGTACAGGTAGTCCCGGACTTACAACACTTCATTTAGTAGTGATCGTTCGAAGCTACAGCGGGGACAATCCAGGTTCACTCAACAACCATGTTGCTAACTTGACAACTGCAGCAATGCCGGAAAAGCTGCAACGTGGGGTTTTTTCCTCCCATTAACAGACCGTTTCGGTTAGCGACAGAAATGTTGGGCTCAGTTGTGTGTGTGTGTGTGGGGGGGGTACTTGTAGTAAATCTCGATTTCTCACTCCTTTCTTTCCCGCTCCCATAGGACGGAGAGGTTAGCCCGGGAAATTATGAAAGCCATGGGGGGCCACCACATTGTGGCTCTCTGCGTGCTGAAGGGAGGCTACAAATTTTTTGCCGATTTACTGGATTATATCAAAGCTCTGAATCGGAACAGCGACAAATCCATTCCGATGACCGTCGACTTCATCCGCCTGAAGAGCTACTGTGTAAGTTGGTCTGTTGGAGACGTGTTTTTTTTTTAAATTCGTGGCTTATTGTCAGCTGGAATTGGGGGGGGGGGCTACAATGGGGGGGGGGGAGACGAAACAGGCAGTTATTTGAAAACAATTTATGGTCCTTCTGCCTCCTTCAAATCTTACTGTGAACATGCAATCCAATCGTGGATGAACTGTGGTTGGCTTTTTGCTTCAAAGCAAACAAGGGCAAACATCTCAGGTTGGGGTGAGAAACAACCTCAACAGAAGGATGAAAACAGTGCCTCTTTTTTAAAAAATAAATAAATTTTATTGAATAAATTTTAAAAACAGTTGAACACAGTGTGACCTTCTTGGCCACCATTTTGGCCACACAAGCTATAGTATAGAGATACACCTAACAGTTAATTTCCTTTTTCTCTTATGTTATTAGTATGATGCTAGCTGCATTATTTCTGTTTACATTTATCTACGATTATATACATATTAACAACCATCTTTTATACTCATGCATTCATGTCATCTCATATTTGTCCATTATATTCCATTCTCCTTGGGTTACAAAACTTTAGCTTTCGTTCCTATAAAGCGTCAACCCTTTCTTTCTTTTTCCTTGACTCCAGCCATTGATACATTTTACTCCAGACTTCATAATTCTCTGTCTCACCCTTATCTTTGATTTCTAAAGTTAGTCTGTCCATCTTTGCACGGACTAATATTTTCCTTATTAGTTCACTTTCTGTAGGGGTATCTTCATTCTTCCAGTTTTGGACATACACCAATTTCGCAGCTGTTATTATATGTATCCTAATACTATGTATCATATAATATAAAAACAGTGTCTCTCTGTGAGCAGTCTGTGCACATTTTCCTGGGCCTAAACCCCATCTAAATGAGTGGGGCTTACCTTGGACTCTGTGTGCATTAAGATCTGTAGGATTAGGCAGGAAAAATAAAAACCCTTGTTTGCAGGATTATGACGGCTAAGAAAACATGACTTTTCCTTTTGCTATGAGAGGGATGAAGCCACAGGCTTGCTAATGTTTGAAAAGTTTCCATTTCAAAAAAGGCTATGGTTTGTTTGTTTGTTTTTTTCCTTTCCTGGAGGTTTCTGTACTATTAATAACAGCTTTACTTCTTTTTTTCTCTCTTTCCTGACTAAACTTAGAATGACCAGTCAACCGGCGATATAAAAGTAATTGGCGGGGATGACTTATCAACCTTGACTGGGAAGGTATGTCCCAAAAGAAGACGTGGATACGGAGGCTTCTGGAAAAAAAGGGATAGGCAATGCTATGTGCATCAGCAAAATGTACTTAAAATGAAATGCAATTAAGGTGTGAAAGTATTTCATTAAAAAAAAAAATTCAATGCAAAAAATGTTGCCAAGTTTCCCTTGGAATTCTGGCTTTGTCAGAAAGCTTTGCTAGCTAATCATGGGGGTTCTTTCTGCCCCAGCAAATTCTGCAGTTGTGAGGATACGGTGACTCTGGTGAGGGGAGCAGGGTGCACATTTTTATATTTCTGTGTTTATAAACACAGAAATGGTGCTCTTGTTCCTTTAAGAAAGGAAGGAGATGACCTCAGAAAAAATAAAAGCAAGGGGTACCTATGTTGGCCCACATCACTGCAGCTTTGAACACCAGATCCTGGGATCAAAAAGAAATAGACATTACTTTGAGCAGATTTTCCTAAAACCTTCCAGATGTCTCAAATGATCCCTTTTCTAAGTTCAGCCAGAGAGTTCCTGACTTTAAAGTTGTTCTCTAGATGTATGTTCAAAAACATTTGTTAGTTTTGGCCATGAGAAAGTACTTAAACCACTTCAAAAATGCTAGCTAACTAAAAGCATTTAGGATGTGCTTCTAAGGCGTTTAATTCAATGTCTTTCCTAGTTTTAATTCTTACTGCTTTGTGGTTAGACGTTTTATGTTTGAACTTAATTGTTTAAAGTCCCAAAGAATGTGCTAATGAGCTCTTAATAACTTGTATATTTTAAACACCAGGAACAATTTGTAGCCATTTTCTCCTTGCCTGTTTTACTGATGGGGCATTTACCTATAATTATGTGGTAGTTAATTAGTTTTTTAAAAATTGGGGGGGGGGATTGGAAAAATAGAAGTTTGAGTTCAAAACGGAACTAAAATTACTGATGTCTTTCTGTCTTTTCTTTTTCAGAATGTCTTGATTGTAGAAGTAAGTACTTCAGTGGGCAGGTACTACCTTTATGTATGTTTTGGGGCCCGTTGCCTTGAGTTCCACTGATTCCTTCCAAGGTCTGAGTAAGCTGTATGTGGGTTAGAATCTTCTTGCAGTTGCAAATTTCAAGGCCACTTCAAACCTATCAATTTCTTCCAAACGGGGATGAGGAAAATGGTTGAAATATTCTTGTTGAAACAAGATTTATTAACTATCTTTGTGACCAAATGCACATTAATAATTCACGCTCAAGTTTACTTTGTAAAAGGCCCCATAAAGAGATGATCAAGTTTTAGTCCTGTATTTCAAGCCCCGAAGCTATCTCCTTTTATAGATACGTTATCTTTATTATTAGTTTTTTCTAGGCCTAATATGCCCCAATGCAGCATTAGTTTTATTCTGGCCAGTCACTCACCCGAGTGTGATATCCTTTGCTGTACTTTTCCTCCAAAAACAAGCTGTTGTGTGACCCCTTGGTTTGTTTCCTCCTCAGGACATCATCGACACAGGGAAGACAATGCAGACTCTCCTGTCTCTGCTCCAGCAGTACAATCCAAAGATGGTCAAAGTAGCAAGGTCAGAGCTTGTCCCCGGGTCACTTTTGAAAGCCCCCTCCACCCCACCCCCAGCCTGAAGTGATCCGACTTCAGGGAAAGACTTCAGCTAACATATCCGAGCAGAGGAGGTAATTTTTGGCTCAGGTGGTCCGCCATTGTTTCCCTTACAAAAACAATAAGAGCTTGCAACGTGGTCTTGTCTGCCTGCTTCACTGAACCAGGGTCTAATAACAGAAGATTGGGAGGGTGGGAGGAGGGGGGGTTATCAGTGTCCTTCACGCACAGCCCTCGAAAGACCCGTCTTCTACGTTTACGATCCCTCCACATTCTCCCTCCAGAAGCTGCGGTAAATTAGAACTATTTTATGTACTGTATCCGTCTTTGCTGGCCTCGCTGCGATCAACTTCGAAAGGAGCTGGTCTTGCAGGCTGATGAACTAAAAGGGCAGGTGGTCCCTTTGGAGGGGCTTCCTTCTCTCCCATCGGAGAACCTGTAATTAGTCTGGCCCTTCCTCAAGGCCTCTGATTTTGAGAAAGGCCCGGAATGATGAGTGGGGCTAAAGGCAGAGGTCTCCAAACTTGGCAACTTTAAGGCTTGTGGACTTCAACTCCCAGAATTCTCCAGC